TAGAAGGCGTAGATAATGAGTTCACCAGAATTAAGTGGACAATCCTCTAGCACACCCGAACTCCGAGAAACTGTGAGCCGGGTATCCATTCACATCGCTTCGGATCCCATACCCATCTAGAAGGGATGTTGGAATATAACAATGTCATTGCCGCTGGATTAAGTTGATTGCATTCCATCCAAGATATCAATTTGCTTTTGTTCTTCGAGTCAGACACGTTGACATCATCATAGATGGAATTTTGTGGTAAAGGAAGATGCACCGAAAAATAACCAGAACCCTATAATTATGAAAGAACACATATTAATGGATTTCAATTATGATTAATAGCACGGAACAGAATCAAAGATAATGTTAAAAGAAAACTATACCTTTTGGCATCATATTCAGTTGCAAAAACAATGAGAAAGGAAGCAGAAACGTGTTTAGCCAAATCAAGCTAGGGTTTTTGGTTTAGAAAACTAAAAACGTAATGAGAACAGAATAACAGAAGAATATTATTGATCAGTGAAATATTTATTTTGACCATGTTTTGTTCTATACGTATTTATACTTATAAAATAAAAAGCATAAACGATATTTGTAAGGATAATAACTGTTAGCATGTATATATCTATTTAAATAAGATATTGGTGATTAATTGTTAATTAAAGATGAGGTGAGTGGATAGAAAAGTTTAGGGGTTTTTTTTGGTACTCTTAAATTGTCGATTTTGGGTGTTTTTTTTTAATTAAAACAATAATTGAGATGTATAGAAAACTATGGTCGTTTTTGTTTTTAAAAAAAAGTAGATTAATAAAGTTATAGTTTGTTTTTAATTAAAACAATGATTGAGGTGTATAGAAAATAATTTTTGTTTTTAAAAAATATATTAAGAAAATAATAGAAAATAATGGTCCTTTTTAAAAATATATATATATTAAGAAACTAATAATTTTTTTATTTAAAAAAATGGTAGATTTTAAAAACCTATAGTCGATTTTTTTATTTAAAAACATATTTAGTTTAAATATAAGATTATATTTTACTAAGATTATTAAATTTTAACTAAATTTAATTTGAACCGAGTAAAAAACTAATAACTAAACTTAATTTGAACCAAGTTAAAGGCTAATATAGACTTTTTAATAAGGGACAAGATGATAATTAACCACCTCCAAAATCAATAAGTGAGCTGGAAATCAAAAATTTACTTTGCTCATAATATATATGATGATGATACGTATATTCTTATTGACTGTTGTAAGAAAGATTATTGGTGATTGCAGATTGAATATTGTACAAATCCACTAGAATAGTAATTAATTAAGATGATGACTTGTATGGTGAAAAAAGCAAACAATAATAAAAAAGGACGATCTTGAGATCGATGATTTTATCTTCAATGCATCCTCATGAGAGAAGCTTACGATTCATCGTGGGAGAAGGGGATGACTCAGATTCGATTTGAGTGATTTTGTCTTCAAAAGTGTCGAAGTAGCGATCAAGACTTTTGAAAAGTTAGCAGAACATCTGCTTGCAATGCAAAAGAAAAGCCTAAATGCTAAATCAGTAAACAATAAAGAAAAACAAAGACACAGAAAAACATCAATCCTCCATATGAATTTGATGCCGTATTTGTCTAGAAGCTTAGCATGCAAGTCACCAATGTATGTTGATTTTGCCTTGTCATCGCTTAAGTCATTATTCTTCTCGACTTTAACCGGAAAAATTTGAGGAACTAGCTCGATATTTTCACCATTTTTATCAATGAAAAATGGCTCATACATGCCATAACGAGCCTGTGAAGCTCCCAAGACGAAGAAGACAAAGAAGAAAAGGCTTCCCAATCGAATGAACATACTTGAAGATAAGGTTAGAGCTTGTTACTCTGATACATGGATCACATAGAAACGTGTTTATATAATAAGATATGCTGTAATATTCTTTTTCTATTAGGGAAGTGTGTTTTTAAAACATTTATCAGAAATAAAATATTTCGCAATGTTTGTTAGGTTGGGATTTTGTAAACAGGATAGGAAAGCGCTCAGTTTATCACAACATTTTTTTTAAAAAATTATATTCATTAACCCCAAACTAAGTTAAATATATATATTTAGTTTCTTACTACAAGGTGATGCACATATTACATCGTTGACTCAACACAGGTCTTTTGGGCGAAATAAAAATTGTTGGGTCATAAAAATATGCCTTTCAATATTGTTAAAATATGAGCCCATTTTCTAAAAAAATCTAATTATTATAAAAAAAATTTAGATTATATCAGATGTTTTTTTAATTTTTGAACAAAATTGACCCCCCTAAAAAAGGGAAAATATTGGATCCCATCTTAGAATTTTTTTTTTTTAAATGACTGGAACCATGGGCGAGAGCATCTCTGCCCAACCCTTGTGGACCGGACCTGTTGACTCTATTAACATTTATGTCGAGAATTGATCTCACAGATTTCTGAAGAGGATTCAGTTTTTTTGGAGCTGTCAATTAATGGTGCGTGTCGGTAAGTATCTGAATCATTTTTGATTAACTCCGTCACTGAGTTTGCTTCATTATGCTCTTTCAATTCCTCGAACTGGATTGAAAAATTGAGTTTCTGATGATCGACTCAAATTGTGTCTGATGAAAGAATTATGCCCAGAACTTTGTCTCTTAAATATTCTGATTTTACTGTTGAATTTTGTGGTTTTGAATTTTTTCTTCTGATTTAAATTAGCACCAAATGAGACTGATATTCTGATTTGGTATTTGTTGGTTTTAGGTGAAAAACATTACTAAAGGGGCCCAAGCTGTGAGTATTATTGCTGCGTCTATATAAGGTATCAGGATGGTCATTCTCATATTCTTACTGCTTTATGTTGATGATATGCTTATTGCTGTAAGAGATATGAATGATTTTGATAAGCTGAAAAGATTATTGAAGATAGAGTTTGATATGAATGATTTTGGTTCTGCAAAGAAGATTTTTGGGATGGAAATTCGCAGGGATATCAGTTTTAGGAGATTATGGCTTTCTCAAAAGAGCTATATTCAGAAGATTGTAGACAGGTTTGACATGAGAGATGCAAAGACAGTGTTTACACCTTTGGCGATGCACTTCTCATTTTCAGCAATGCAATGTCCTAAGTCTGATGAAGAGGTCAGAGGTATGTCAAATGTTCCTTATGCAAGTGTGGTGGCTGTTTGATATATCCTACGGTTTCCACTACACCAGAAGTATGTCAAAAAATTACCACTGTTTAAATTGACTAAAAAACATCGGTCATTTAAACGATAGATTTTTACTTGCTACATGTTTTAGAGAGTTGCTCACTTGAAAACAAAAGCAAAATATTGATTTTTTTTTTTGGGAAATTACCTCAAATAACTTAGAAAACTAGTAAATTTACTACACTAACACCTAGGTGAGCTCTCTTTACTGAACAAATCCATGTTTTTTTGGTTAAACTCTTGTAGACCCTTTTGGATTCTTTTTATTACGGATTATGCCATTATCGAATTAACTCATTTAATTTATTTCATTTGACTAAACGTGTGAATTAAAGAAATAATTAAGTAATGCTCTCTTCATTGCTCTCTTCGTCTTCTCTCTCTTTCTTGCGACAGCGACTCTGAGATTAGGGTTTTTTAGTGCGGCTGCGAAGGTGAAGTTCTCCAGTGGAATCGTCCATCGATAGTCGTTGTCGTGAGAATTCCGGTGGCGTTTAGGGTCCGTTCGTCTTTGTTGGTCGAGTGTGAGCCGAAAATCGGCGGTTCGTCATCTCGGGTTTCGTAGTTGCATTTCGCCGGTGAGGAAGGTAATTCCGACGACCCCAAATTGATTTGTTGTTTATATTCATAGATTTTCAGGCGTTGTTTTATAGTTTAGAGGAAGAGTTTTGTTAAACATGGGTTTGCTTACAGATTTGAAATTTTGTAAAAACGTATGTTTGAGATTCTGTAATATTTTCATATCCTTGAAACCCTTATATGTGGTTAATATTTTCCAGGGTCTGGAGATGCATTCTGAAGAAGTGATATTGTTTTTGAATTTGGCGCGTTATCTTGATGTCTGTTTTGAACTTTTAATGGAAGATTTGTTTAAATTGTAAAGAGAATAGTGGAAGAGTTTTGGTTTTAATGAATTGGTGGCTGACTTGATATAGTTTTGGTTTTGGTTATGGTTATATTTTGGGACAGATTTGTCGACAGTTTTGGTTATATTGACGGAAGATTTATTATCCATAGATTTTCTTCTGTGACAGTTTTATGTATGGTATTGGAAGAGTTATCGGTTTTGTTGTGCTAAAGCGGAAGAGTTATCGGTTTTTACTGAAACTTGTTTTTAATGCTTGCAGCTATGGCGTCATCTAGTGGGACTAAAGTTTATCCTCCGCGCCTATATCCGGAAGGAAAATCACCTCTGCAGAATCGAAGCATGAATCACTACTGCTTCCTCAACTTGTTTGGGAGGGTGAAAGATGGAATAGGTGCAGATGTGTTTGAAAACATCAAGGAGACTTCCCAGGTTGGAGTAATATTGAAGCTGGCAGACATGGACTTTGTATCGTCTTCAAACCTTCTTCACAACTTTCTTACGCGACAGCTGTCAATAGAAAATGGTCATGAGATTTGGATTTTGATAGGAGGTCAGCCCATCAGGTTCTCTCTGCATGAGTTTTCTGATATTACGGGGTTGAATTGTGATAGACTTGGGGATGATGACGAGGCCGAAATAGATGACTCTGAGTTCTGGAAAGAGTTGAGAGTCAGTGGAGGTGGACCAAAATTTAAACATCTCGAAGCAGTGTTGTCTAGATGTAGGACTTGGAGTTTTGAGAAGAGAAAGATGATTGGATTGCTGTGTATTCTATCAATATGAATCTTAGGAATATCTCAAAATAGCAGAATCCCCATGAAGTATGCGAAAGGGTCTTGGATTTGGATGCATTTGAGAGGTTTCCGTGGGGAAGGGTTGGATTTGAAAGCATCATTAATTCGATAAAAATACTATGCTTCGAGAAGACTAGCTATGTAGTCCATGGTTGTGTGCATGGTCATATGGGGATATGAGTCGCTGCCTTTCTTGGCCGAAAAATTTGGTGATAGGAATGAAGCTGCAAATGTGGTTCCTCTTCTCCGTTACAGATCAAGTCGCAAGCGTTTTAATTTTGACGCATATGTGTTGCAGGAAAAGCAAGAACACGGCAGTGTAAGTTTTAATGTTAAACATTTGATTACAGTAGTTGATTGTATGAGTGAGAAATTATGTAAACATTTATCATTGCTGTGTTTCATTGTAGGTACGTGTAAGGCATATGGTGGACAAGGAAGAAGAAAATCTTTTCCCATCTTGGCCAGATGAAAACACGGATTGTAGCCTTGAAAATCTTGTAGGAGATATAAAGCATGGTCGACTTGATGTCAATTTTTGGGATGTACCGAGTGCTGATAAGGGTACAAGTGATAAAGCTAAGTCCGTGCGGTAAAAGAGTAAGAAGCGAAATGACAGTGATGATGATTTCGTGGACAAGGTTCCACAGAAGAAAATGGTTGTGCAGGAGAAGAAGAACAAAAGAAATGATGAAGAAGAAGCCGCAAGAGAAGATGGGAAGAAGATCCGGAGAAGTAAAGGGAAAGAGATAGTGAGTGAGGAGGAGACAGAGGACGATTCGGATGTTAGCGTAGAAGCCGTGAAGAAAAAAAAGAAGGGCCATAAAGCTGAAACTGGGGTCAATAACGCCTTTGAGAGAGAACTTTGGTCCTCTGGATTAGTGTATATGATTGAGACTTTGAGTTCTAAGGTGGACGCTATAGACAACAAATTCTCCTCAAAGTTTGATCAGTTTGATTCAAAGTTTGCGTCATTGGATCAGAAGATTCGGATTGTTGAGAGCGATGTGACGAGGATGAAGCAAGCTCGAGCAGAAGATATTGCTGATGCTGCTAAGGACGGTAAGTCTGCTACCGGAAATGGTGATGATGCGGGTGATGAGAATAACGACCAGGTAAGTGTTTTCTAACAAACCCTGCAATCTCATTGATTATTAATAAGAAAGACCAATCTGTACTCATGAAGTTAACTTTTTTTGGCAGAACGAAACTTAGCGGTTACCGGAGAATTTGAACCATGCTAGAGACATCTGATGAATCGAATGAATGGATTGCAAATGATTTTTCCCCTTTTTCCTTTGTTTTTTCTTTGTTTTGTCTTATTTTCGGATTTGGCCTCTTTCTCAGTGTTTTGGGTGTTTGATTTCATTTTCCTTGGTTTAGGGTGTTTGATTTCATTTTCTGTTAACATAAATAAAGGGAAATAAACTTAGTACTTCGCTTGAAAGTGTGTAGTAGTAGTAGTTATGATTTTTAGTAGTAGTTTGGCTGACATATATTATAAATCTGTCAATATTTCAGCAGTCATGGGTACTTAAGATGAAGGAAACATCTGAAGATTCATTTCAGGTAGCTTGCTTGGTTAGGAATCCAAAAGCTACCCCTACAACTCCCCAAGAAAGAAAGAAAGAACCAGAAGAAAAGACTCCAAAATCAGGGAAAGCGTGTGGCTCTTTGAAGAAAAAAGAGCCAAAAGATACTGTGGATTCAAAGAAAAATGAGTTGCCTGAAGTAAATCTATCTGACGGTTCAGAATCGTTTGGAGAAGAGCCGAAGGGATTTGGCGTAGCATTGGATAAATTGCTGGCTCTGTCAAAGCGTGATGATTGTGTCATGAGGGAAGCTAGCGCTGACATAGATAAGCGACACATCTCACTTGCAGCCTCACAAAGAAGCCCTTACATTGGTAATTCTGGTGTGAAACGTGTTATGTTTGGCTGTCATCCATCAGATGATTCATATGATCCATTTGAGAAGGTTGTGGTCTCAAAGGTAGAGAAGCTAATGGCGTTCCTCGATCATGATATGTAAGTTTCTTCCATCTCTAAATGAAATCAACTTTTTGTTTTGGGTTTAATATTAAAATTTTACTACAACTTTTTGTAGGAATAACCCATTACCAAGTAGCAACACAGATTCTAAGTTTTATCTTACCATCATGACTCCTAAAGAGCTTTGGCCAAAAATAGACAACGAATTTGGGTGGCTCGGAGATATGGTATGCAAGATTTATTGGGTGTCCATTGTTTCATATATCATCTTCCTCAGTTAGAAGACTCTAATTCCTGTTGTTTTCTTTTGCAGCATTTGTGCTCTGCAATGCATATGCTGCGAAGAAGGTCTATGAGAGATTGTACTCCTTTTAGGACCGATAGGATTGCATTCCTCCTTTTAGGACCGATAGGATTGCATTCCTCTGCAATGCATGTGACCTAGTATCTGGTGAGTTGCTTGTCGAGATCGAGATGAACGCTCTGTAACTGAGCAACTATGCTCCTTTACATATATGCGCACGTAAAACTTTCCACTGTTGTCAATCGGTGTAGCTCGCACTCTCCATGTGCAACTTTCAACCCAGCAATTGACAGTATACAACGACCGCGTCGATCGATCAACATCAAAATCAAAATTATGCAGCACTGACAAAATTTGCAATCTTGTCTGTAAATCACCTTTACAGTCATATCGTTGCCCTACAGCCAAATCAAGAGAAGCTATTTCTAGTTGCTTAAACTCATCATCAACCTCACGCAAGATTTTCTCTTTTTCAATTCCATGATTGATTTCCTCTTCTCCACCGACGTCAACAGAGCTCTCATACTTACTGTAGTTCTCATCATCTGAAGTAGCACCATCGATATCATCACAGCACTCGAATCTATATTCCTCATCTTCATCACCGATGTCATCGTCGACGCCTTCTTCATTTTCTAGGTGGTCTAGACCTGGACCAATCTTTCTTTCCTCCTTATCTCCACCAACCCAATTTGCATCCTTCTTCTTTTCCTTATTTACCGAAGACGCATCGTAGATCTCTTCCTTGCCGCCGTCGTCTTCCCTCTCTTTCAACTCGACACATAGTCGAACTGGCTCAGCTTTCCTTAACTTCAGATATCCAAGCAGTTGCCTTGAATTATTGATGAAAACAAGCGGCGTATCTACAGGTAATTTTACCAACATCTTCTTCGACAAGAGATATGACAATTCAACAACATAGAGCCGCTTATCTATCTCGTAATCCTCATACACCATCTGTATAAATTCCTTGAAGGTGGTTCTCACATTTAGATCTAAAACTCTACATCCCTTTTTCTCATCGACGCCGAAAACCCATCTACTCTTTTCTGTTTCCATTTCCCGCAAACTAATACGATTTCTTCTTTTTCCATGACGTCAATCGTTTTTAGTGGACAAAGAAAGACTGATTTCGTACACACCAGCACAGAGGAAGAAGATGGAGAACCAGATCTGCGATGAAACCAAGAAGGAGATGAAGGACAAAATTGTCATTTTGCCATACAACGTAACTCTGCCATTAAAACACCAGTCAAGTCTACCACAACAGAAATTCGATCATAACTAATGAACACCCACCAATCGAATCAAACAACTATTTAAAGCTGTTAAATCATTTTTTTTTCATCTCACTACAATGTTAACGTAATTAGCATCATAACAATATGTTAGGGTTCATATAACATCATATTAAGCATTACACAATTAGCAAGCGACAGATTTAATAAATCTTTCATTTCAAATCTGTCAACACAGGATGGGTTATTCTAGTAAATTATAACTCTGTTGTAACGTCAGGTAAATACGTCTATCGTAATGTACTTTTCAACGCCAAATCTACCATCACGTACCAATAAGTCTGGCATGTTGTTATTATAAATCTGTCACCATTAAAGTGTTACTTGAGTAATTATAAAGATGCGAACATCTCTGTCGTTACAAGTCCATAACTTTGTCGTAAGTATGTAAATCTGTTATATCGTAAAATTTCCTAACGTAAGTCTATCGCCTCGTATAGGTTAGTCTAGTAATTTAATTTCCTTTTGTATCTCTGACGCCTAGCAAAAATAAATCTAGCATGATACATTAAATCTGTCATCACTTTCCGACAAATCTACCAAAAAAAGTTTACCAAAAAAAGTCTGCCAAATAAATCTATCAAACCAGTTTAAATTTGTTACCATAGTAAATAAATCTAACTAAAAAAGCCTGCCGTGGAAAAGTCTGCCAAATAAATCTGTCACACAAAATAACTCTGACACTATAGTCACCTATAACTCTGTCGGCCATGATTAACTCTGTCACACCAACAAATATGTCATCATTAGCCCGACAGATTTGTATTTTGAATCAAACAACTCTACCGTGGCATAAATCGTAATTAAACGCTGGGCAAATCGTAAATAAATCGAAGTTTTGCTGACGTGGCAGCGAAATAGTAATGGCATTTTCGTTATATCATTTTTCCTAACAAACGTCTTTAGGGTTATAATTGGGATTTTTTTTTATTTTTAAGTTATTCTAGTAATAATTGAACTTGTTATGCTAAAAAAAAAAATATTGCCCGAATCTGGGTTGTTTTAGCTACTCACCTTTTTTTTTTTCATTCTTAGAACCTTTTTCTAAATAAGTAATATTTAATCAAAATTTTAAGGCCTTTATCATAACTGTTGCTTTTCTTAAAGTAAATAAAATTTGTAAAAAAAAATTTTTTACCTTTGATGTTAGATAAAATTCTAATTATTTTTTTGCGTGACTATATATTCAAAACCACCTATCAAACAAAAGATCACGTGACTAGGTGAAATTATGCAATGAACACATAGTGTGTTTTTTGCAAGGATTTAGTGGAGACAAGAGACCAATATTTTTATCTCTCGTAAATATTTGACCAGATTAGTACAAAATCTGTTGGGAGAGAAGTTTATAGTAGCATGGGATGATATTTAAGCGCTTTTCTCCGACTCAGCACAATGTTTGACTCCTCTTTCAGTTCAGATACTGGTTTCGTGCGATTTGACAATTACAATTGGCAGGAGCAAAACAGATCACATGCAATGAAACGGTGAACAATCGTTCCCTACAGATTTCCTTACTTGCTTTTTGACCAAAGTATTCACAATCACATCTCTTCAATCAAAATGATGAGAAGCAACAAATTATAAAGATGGGCTAAGGTAGTGGTTTTCCATAAGATGATTCTTGATATCTATAACCAACGCACATGTATTAAGTTTCATTGGTTAAATTCCATAACAGACTCAAACTCTAAAATGATGGAGGCATTTATTGTAAAAAAAAAAAATTTTATGAAGTATTTTTTTACATTCTTTTGACAAAAGAACACACATGCGTACTTACAAGATGAAAAAAACAAAATTCTTGAATGAAATTAATCTGTTGGAAGTATATAATCAATTTTTGAATCTTGTTAAAATGGTGCAAAAACACTCTCTAATGTAAATTCAAATTTTCAACCAAAAAAATATAGAAAAGACTATTATGTGACACAGTTTTGCAACTATATGTTTAACTTAAAAAAATACAGATAACCTTCAACCATATATATTTGAATTTTGTAAACCTTAAAAGCGTGTATTAGTTGTTAAAACAATTAAAACTATATTATTTTGAACCATTCTTTTAGAATACATATCGTCGCATTCTCTTCTCTTTCAGAGTTTCATCCCCAACTCTAACAATGGCTCCTAACGGTAGGAAATCCTCAGCATCCTT